TCTGGAGTGAAGGAGAAAGTCAGAGTCAGATTTTTTTTATTGTCATTCGCACCTCATGTGGTACATGTGGTGGAGCGAAATTATGTACACAGGGTCCCAGTTACATCCAACGATAAAATGTAAAAGAAAAACAATGATAACATCTAAGATATGAACTAAGAAAAACATCAACTAAATATACACTAAGCACTCATAACATAAAAACATTGAACATCTGCACAAACATGAACATGAGTCTGTGAGCAGATGAGCACGCATGAACACAGCAACATGAAACAGATCAGCAGCAACATTGAAACAGATCAGCAGCAACATGATGTGATTTTCTTCACAGTGATTATTCTGGTTAGAGATTCATGAGTCTAACAGCCTCAGGGTAGAAGCTGTTCCTCACTCTAGTGGTTCTACACTTAATGCTCCTTAACCTCCTTCCTGAGTGGAGCGGGGCAAAAAGTGTGTGTGCTGGGTGAGTGGTGTCTTTCATGATGCAGGTGGCCCTCTTCCTGCATCTGTAGGTGTAGATGTCTGTGATGGTGGGGAGACTGACTCCAACAGACTTCTGTGCAGCCTTCACCACTCTCTGCAAAGCTTTTCTTTCTGCAGCTGTGCAGCCTCCATGCCACACGTTGATGCTGGAGCACAGGATGCTCTCCGCTGAACACCTGTAGAAGAAGGTGAGGAATGAGCTTCCCAGACCAGCTCGTCTCAGCCGCCTGAGGAAGTAGAGTCTCTGATGAGCTTTCTTGATCAGGCTGGTGGTGTTGTTGCTCCAGCTGAGGTTGTCATTCATGTGTACACCCAAGTACTTGTAGCTGGAGACCACTTCCACCGCAGATCCTCTTATGTTCAGGGGGTGTAGGTGTGTTTGTTCCTTCTGAAGGCCACAATCATCTCCTTTGTCTTCTTCACATTGATGTGAAGGTTATTCTCTTTGCACCAGCTCTCCAGGTGTTCCACCTCTTGCCTGTAGCTGGACTCATCATTGTTTGTGATGCATCCCACCACCGCTGTATCATCTGCAAACTTTACAATGTGACAGCCTGGATGGGTAGCTGCACAATCATACGTGAGCAGAGTGAACAGGAGGGGGCTCAACACACATCCCTGAGGAGAGCCAGTGCTGAGGGTTATGGTGGAGGAGGAGAAGTTGTGGATCCTCACTGACTGTGGTCTGTTTGTTAAAAAGTCTAGTACCCAGTTGCAAATGGAGGGGCTTAGTCCTAGTGTGGATAGTTTGTCCATCAGGGTTTGGGGGATCATGGTGTTGAAGGCGGATGTGAAGTCCACAAAGAGCATACGGACGTAAGAGTTTTTCTGCTCCAGGTGGTTGAGCGCAGTGTGGACCACAGAGGAGATGACATCCTCTGTTGATCGGTTCTCACGGTATGCATACTGATGAGGGTCCTTGTTGATGTTGATGGCTGTTTTGATGTGAGTCATGACCAGTTTTCGAAGCATTTAGCGACTATCGGGGTGAGGGCCACTGGCCGATAGACATTCAGACCAGTCTCTGTAGAGCTTTTTTGGGACTGGGATGATGGTGGCAGTCTTCAGGCAGATGGGAACTGTCTCCAGGGTAAGTGAGGTGTTAAAGATGTCTGCCAGCACCTCACAGAGCTGATCAGCACATTCCTTCAACACTTTTCTGGGGATGCTGTCTGGGCCAGTTGCTTTGTGCGGATGAATCCTCCTGAAGGTACTCCTTACTTCTGCTGAGGTCACGCTGAGATGCTCTTCATCCGGTGGTGAGGTGAGTCTGGTGCTGGGTGGTCTGTTCGGGTCTTCAAAGCGTGCATAGAACTTGTTGAGGGCATCAGGCTGTGATGGGTCTTTGGGGCATTGTTCACTCCTTCCTTTATAATCTGTTATGCACTTAATGCCCCTCCACATGCTCCGAGGGTCTTGCGAGGAGAACTGACCCTCGATCCTCTGTGCATATGTGGCCTTGGCCCTTTTACTACCAGCAACTAGTTCTTTCCTTGTCCTGCTCATCTCCTCTGAGCTTCCAGACCTGAAGGCAGTGTTCCTGGCTTCCAGCAGGGTACGCACCTGTTAGGATTTGTGGTCGGAGCGAACCCAGAGTGCAGAACAGGGACTCAACTCGGCAGATATACAAAAATAAGTTTTTAATGATAAATGAAAAGTACAAAATAAACAAGCTGACGGGGCAGCAAAACTTACATAAACAAGGAGGGAGGCACGGGGAACTCAGGAGACACGGGGAACTCGAGGAACCAGGAAGACAAGGAGAGACTCAGGAGACACAAGGAAGCGTACCCAACGAAGACGACCCGACAAAGAACAAGACAGAATAGGATGACTTAAATACAGGGAGAAGACGAGACATGATAACAAACAGCTGGGACGAGACACAGGTGGCAACAATGGAAACTAATGAGGGAGCACGAGGGAAACAGACACACCGGGCCACAGAAAAGTAACATCCTTACAGCACCTCTGCATTCAGCCAAGGGTTTCTGTTTGGGTAGCTTTTAACATTTCTGATAGTGGAGACGTGTCAGTGCATGTACTAATGTAACCTAGAACTGAGGAAAGAAAATCAGGATTAAGTTCAGTTTGTTTGATGAATAATTTAAAATTCTTAATTTATCTAAACAATAATGTCAGTTATATTTTTCTTTAAAATTAGGCTCTGCAGACCACTGTTTGTGCAAAATGTTAAAGAAAGTGTGATTTTAAATGAATGGAAAAACAATAAACTTCCGTTTTATTGTTTTCAGAGAGAATATTTACAGCAGATATTTAAAAGCATCAACTCTTCTGAGTGAAAACAAACATTTTAATCTGCAGAAGCCCATCCTCCCCGTCCGTTTCAGCTTCCAGATGTTTTTCTTGAACAAGAAATGATCATTTCTGAGTCGTGGACTTTGTGCTTTTAGTTGCAGAAATCCACAAACAATATAATTCCTTAACAACAAAAAAGGTTGAATCATGTCATCTGGACTTCGGTTTTTTTGTTAAAAAGAAACGTTTCGCCCCTCATCCAAGAGGCTTCGTCAGTCTGAGGCCTAGCCATCTGGTATTACCCAGAAGCCACCCTGACTCTTGTGTTTCAAGCCTGCCTCAGATACCCCTGAAGTCTGGCCTTTTCACTAATGGTTTCAAAAACACAAAGTTTGTTTTCTCAGTCATCCAGGTATATAACAACAAAAAAGGTTGAATCATGTCATCTGGACTTCGTTTTAATATAATTCCTTCTTAAAGATGCGTATCTCTGAAATAAGACAGGACAAAATAGCAAAGTGTACTTTATTTTTTTTTACATTTTCAATCCACAAATAAACAATAAGCAAGAAGCTGATTTAATAACTTGATTAGTAATATTTCTCACACTGACGCTGATGTGAGAGTGGACTAAAAATGACAAGTTGCAGAGTTTTATTATAATACAAGAAGAAACACAAAAAAACATTAAAAACAGCTCAACCTAAAGGTTTTGCACGATGGTTTCAAATCATCCATGAAGTCTTGGTCAACTGAGTGATTTAGATTAATTTGGGATAAATTAATAAAGGTGGTATCTCACCTGGCTGAGACTGGAGACTACTGTCGCCTCAAAAAAGATGAGAGGTGAAAGAAAAAAGTGCAAAAATATAAAATCCCACAAACAGAGTTTGTGTCTAAAGCAGTTGTGAGTTTTGTCGTCAGACTGCAGGAATCACTCAGGGCCGTCTCTGCAACAGTCGAGCAGAAGGTGGTTTTGGAAACTGTGACGGTCGCCCAACGTTTAAGAGACGACAGGGCGAGAGTTACGAGACAAACTGAGAAACTTCAACATGGAGCCTCAGCAGTGGGGCCTCCAGAAAAAACTATGTATTTTTAATTTTACAGACAATATAACTGATGACGTGCAGAGCAGAGAACAGTCCATTTTGATAGTTATCTTTACATGTCACTTCATGAGGCATCTTTAATTTGAACAAAACATTTGCATCTTTTAATCATTAAAATAAACATTTTGTTTTGTTTGTTTGCCGTCTGAAAACATTATAAAATGAAATGACCTGAAAAGACAGCACAACCATGAACTGTACGTTTTATTAAAGCATCAATTATTCCTTTATTGGCTCAAAGCAAATAGCAAACCACTGTCGCTACTCAATTATTGAAGCTCCTAACTTTATATTTATAAAAAACAATAGTCTGCATGCACCTGCATCCCGATGGTGATGGTTTTAGATCGTCTTAGGAGAAACTAAATTTCAAGTTTTGTTTTAATGTTTTGCTGTGATGTGAATGAAGAACAGGTGTGTAGAGGAGAGAGCAGCTTTATGAATCCCCCGGTTGTTGAGTTTGCAGCAACTTGTTTTTACGAGTCTTTACTTAATAAAGAGCTTTTATTTTCTGAACATCCTGTGTGGTGCCTGTTTGAAGGTCCTGACGTTTTGATTTACTGCGTCTCACGAATAGTTTTTGTCTTCAGCTCCTAATTGTTCAAAGACGATTGTTTTTATTCTTGTGGTTTTTGCTCATCCTAAATAGCTAGGAGAAATTAAAAATGTGCATCAAGCAAAAGGTCAGGAGTGGGACTCGCGGGGGGGAACTGGCGGGTGTGGGGTTGCGTGGGGGAGGCAGGGGAGGCACAGATTATTTTTAAGGGTGGCCACGGCCCCCCTTGGTGGTGCCTCTGGACGTGAGGAGCTGCAGGATGTAAACCTGGATGAGCAGACTGACCCACTGAAGGATGACTTCTTGCTGCAGAATGAACCCAGACATCTTGAACACTTCGTCCCAAACCCACCTCCCACAGTCAGAACTACCTTAAATGTTAACAATTGAACTTAAATTGTCGGTAAAAGACGAACCCTCGAGTTTTTAAAGACCTACGTTGAGCTGGTTGTGTTAAATCTCGCGAAAACGTGTTAAAACAACGAGCTAACGCAGTTTACTGTAAGTGTCAGCTCTCCGAGCCGGAGAGCGGGCAGTGAACGCAGCACGGTGAAGCGTGCGGCTATAAGAAGCTGCGCTCCGTGTCTCCAGGGGGACAGTGTCTGTTGTCCTTCGTGTCCTCAGCAGTGAAAGATGGACCGCTGGAGGGGCAGAGTGGCTCTGGTGACCGGGGCTTCGGCCGGGATCGGAGCCGCCATATCCAAAGAACTGGTCCGGGTCGGGATGAAGGTGGTGGGCTGCGCCAGGAACGTGGAGAAAATCCAGGTGGGTCCAAACAAAAACTTTATTTAAAGGTGGGAATTAGGACTAAAGTCCTGAATAATGAGACTGATTATTACAGCAGCTGATTCAGACCAGAACCAAGAAAACCATCATTTGTGTCACCTTATTTTAACATTTAAACATTTACACTTTACAGCCATTTTCCTCTGAGAAGTAACTTATTGTTAACCCAAACTTCAGCAGTAAGCTTGTTTTAATTGGACATTTACACAATATTACAAAACACGAATTCCACATAAATGTGTGTTTATTTATTTATTGATTTGCTTTATTTTATTTTGTGTTTACCACTGTTAATTTAAGGTTCAGTCAGCGGTGACTCAAACATTAAAACATGAATAAAAGAGTCCAAAACAACACAGATTGGTTCATCTGGTCTTGTCAGGACAGAGCAGACATTTCCAGAGCTGCTCCTTGTAGATTCTTGTAGTTCTCTGGTTCTGTGGGTCCAGAAATGCTCACAGTGTTGTTGAGACGTTAATTATTTTTGGAAGGTTTATATTCAATGTCCATTTCCAGCAAATCATCAGAAAAGCTGTTGTGAAAACTTGCGTCGACATTTGTGAATGTCAAGATTTGAGTTTCTCATGGGTGAATCTGTCTCAACATCTGGACACCTTTTAAACCTCGGCAGCTCCATGTCTGACTTAAAGCTGAGTGGAAGACGATTATATCATGTGTGTTTTTATCTTTCTTTGTAAAACATCAGGTTAAAATGGGTCAAGTTTCTCTCTGACATCCGTCACGCCCTCAGTATGTCCTCCTCTGCTCCCATAGAAGTCCTGGTTTCACCCAACAGGGAAAGAACGCCACGCAGGATCGGATCAGCTGTTGGATCAGTGTGGAGGAGGTCCACGGTCTGTGGTGGATCCCTCCAGGACCAGCTCTGCTGTTTTCTTGCCTTAGTTAGAACGGACCAGGTCCACTATCTTCTGCACAGACAGTCTGTTGGTGAATGAAGCAGGGCTGGTTCAGGAACTTTGGAAAGTCTGGGACCACTTCACGGTTGGTCCTGAAGGACGGCCTATCAGAGAAGCTGCTCCATTAGACGTAATTACAGTGATACTTACAGAGTAATTGCAATAGTACTTACAGAGTAATTGCAATGGTACTTACAGAGTAGTTACAATGGTACTTACAGAGTAATTACAGAGGTATTTACAGCATAATTACAATAGAACTTCCAGCATAATTACAATGGTACTTACAGAGTAATCACAATAGTACTTACAGAGTAATTGCAATGGTACTTACAGAGTAGTTACAATGGTACTTACAGAGTAATTACAGAGGTATTTACAGCGTAATTACAATAGAACTTCCAGAATAATTACAATGGTACTTACTGAGTAATCACAATAGTACTTAAAGAGTAATTACAAAGGTACTTGCCAAGTAATTGCAAAGGTACTTACAGAGTAATTACAATGGCACTTACTGAGTGATTGCAATGGTACTTACAAAAGAATTACAACAGTACTTACAGATTGTCTACAAAGGTATTTACAGAGTAATTAAAAAGGCTCTTACAAGGTACCAGTAATTACAGAGTACTTTTGAGTAATAGCAGGATACTTACTGGGGTGCATGCCTGATACAAGTAATTACATTGTTAGGTATTATGTACTTATGGGGGTACTTACAGAGCTACATACAAATTAATTACAAAGTATGCACAAGGGTACATACATGGTTCTTAGGGGTAATCATGGGGTACATTAGGGGAAAATGCAAGGTATGTATGAGGGTAGTTGCAGGGTATTTCCAGTTTATGTAACAGGGTATCTACTTGTTACTGCTTGCTGTTCATGCAGTGTGGCTTTATGTTCAGCGACACCTGTGGTGGTGGTGATGTTAAGACTTGTGTAATTTTAAAGGCTGTGTCAGCGTTACATAATCGGCAGGCTGGGTGTGTAGGATGAAAAGAAAAATTCAAAAGCCCTTCAGTCATCTATCAGCCATTATGCAACACAATGAATAGAACGCTTTGATAAGTTTTGTTTAGATGGGAGAGAGTCCAGTTTTCCACAAAGTGGAGCACTGGATCAGACCAGTTCTTTTATTCTGCCACTGTACACGGATTTACAGCTACTTTGTTTTAACTTGGCATTAATGTTCTAGATAAATCTTAACATGGCCTTAGCTGGTTTTACACATCACAGAAAATTTGTTTTCCAAATGGAAAGAGAAAAGTTTTCTCAGACCATCAATACAGTCTTTATTTTATGAACTGTTAAACCTCTCAGGTGCCCACAGAGCTGAAATCCCCTTTAAGTTCTGGTTGTTAGTTATCCAACATTTCTACAATGATTGCACAGTTTTGTATTTTTTCCACAAAAAGCCCTGGTTTTATCATTAGGTTTGGTTTACTGAAAGTACTGAAAGTACAGTTGATGCTTGAAATTTGGAGTAGTTGGAATTACAAAGTAGTAGTAGTTAGAAGTAGTAGTTGGAGTGTACTTCAGTACAGCATGCATGTGTTGTAAATTAATTTTGAATCAATTCAAATAGAGAAAATAATTCAAAATTTTACACCTGTAGCTCCTAACAGAGAACTTTGCTCTCAAACTGCAGGTTTACTTGTGGTTCCTATAGAGTTTCCAAAAGCAGAATGGGAGGCAGACTTATGGTTTCTGTCTGTGAGGCTGACACCTTTTCTACTTTTAAGATTAGGTTCAAGTCTTTTGTTTTTGATAAATCCTATAGTTAGGGTCAGCTTGGGTTTCCTGAGCTAGCCATTATTTATGCTGCTATTGGCTTAGACTGCTGGAGGACAAATTGACCACATTTCCTCACTCTGCTGCTGTTTTTACTTGCGCTACTCTACCTGTTTTGTGTTTGTAATTATTTCTATCTTAACATGTGTTTTTCCCCCTCCTGTAGAAAGAACATCTGGACCTGTCATTCTGTGTTCTTTCTTTCTTCTTCCTGTTCCTTTCAAACCGAGCTGGTTGAAGCAGATGGCCGCTCGTCCCGAGCCTGGTTCTGCTGGAGGTTTCTTCCTGTTAAAAGGGAGTTTTTCCTTTCCACTGTTGCCTTTGTGCTTGCTCAGGATGGGAGACTGAGACAAAGTGAAGATTCAGTCTGCTGCTTCCTTAGAAAGAAAACTTTTACTAATCGGCTTTTTTTAATATACAGTATATGAATATTTCTGTTCAGTGTCCTGAGATGACTTCTGTTGTGACTTGTTGCTATATAAATAAACTGAAATGAATCATCCAACCTTTAAGTCTGCTGGGTGCTAAAAGGCACCATTGAACCAAAGTTTTTTTTAGATAAAAGTCTAATGAGTTAATCATTAACATTAATTAAAAAGTTGTAAAATATTCCACATAATGACTAACAGGAAAGGAAATAAAACCCTTTCAGTCTGTTCTCCATTTTACTCGTTACTTGGTTGCTGATCCGAACCTACCAGTCATAAAAAAATGTTTTTCATAGCTAAACAGTTAATTTCCTGAAAAATAATTCAACGATTGTATTTTCTCTCCTAGAAATAACAGATTTCCAGTTAATTTATTTGGAACTAAAAGCAGAAAATGATGTGGTTTCAGAAACTGGCAGCAGAGTGTCGGGCTGCAGGCTACAGCGGCGAGCTGGTTCCTGTCAAGTGTGATCTGACCAGCGTGGAGGACATCGAGTCCATGTTCTCCACCATCAAAGCTCAGCACGGAGGCGTAGACGTGTGCGTCAACAACGCCGGCCTGGCCCACCCCGAGCCTCTGCTGAGCGGCAAAACCAACGGCTGGAAGAACATGCTCGACGTGAGAACTCTTATCTTAGAAATGTGTTTTGGTTTGGGGCCACCTGACTGCGTTCCAGCTCCGGAGTTTAGAGAGGAAACCAGGAATGTTCTCGTTTCTTCAGATAAAATCCTGTAATAACTCCTGAGCAAAAATATAGTGAGGCAGACATGAATTTCCAGAAAATTTTTATGAATTACGTTACATTTTCTGAGATGAACAATGTATATAGGTTGCTTAATATTTAATTAATTGTTATTGCTTACATATGTGTGTGTGTGTCTACAAGATTTTTGCCCAGTTTCTCCCTTTGCTTGAACAACTGTCAGGTCTAATGAATCAGAGAAACAGACGCCTCCCATCCAATGCACCGTTTTTGAATTGGAGTTCTAATTTGATTTAAAGTAATAAATCTGAAATAAAACCCCAGATTAACACAGCTAAATGGGAGAAAAAAAGTTCAGTGAAGTAACTAATAATATAAAAGTAAAAATGATGTATAATACATCATCACTGAATCAAATACAAGATTCAAGTGGGAATTGAACCACTGCTTCAACCAATAACCCTCCACAAAATTGTTGAATTCTGGGGCGGCTGTGACTGAGTGGTTAAAACAGTCGTCCTCCAATGCAAGATTTGGGGGTTCAACTCCACCAGCAGTCACATGCCGAAGTGTCCCTGGGCAAGACACTGAACCCCTCATTGCCTCTGTGTGTCCCATCGGTGTATGAATGTCATAAAGCTCTGATTATTCTCTTTAGAACGATTTGTTCAATTAACTTTGTAGAGATCTAGCAGAGTGTTGTATGAACGGGTAAATGAGGACACAGATTGTAGTGTAAAGCACTTTGAGTGTCTTGATAAGATAGAAAGGTGCTATATAAGTACAGTCCATTTACCATTTACCATTTTAAATAAGGTCCATGTTGGTGGGAAATTTCCAGTTCTTTGACTTTCCTCTGTTCTTTTCAGTTTTCTGTTCTGGTCCCTTCTGTCTGCTCGAAATGGATTTAAAAACAGCATATCTCCACTGTTTGACTCAGCAGGTTTCACTGCAGCAAGTCCTGTTTGAGCTCATGTTAGGTCTGGGTAGAGATCCGATCAATGCACTCAACCCAGCTGAATGTGTCCTCAGAGGTGCCTCAAATGAAAATATTGGATCTGCCCGTTTGGATCGCTAGCCACACGTTCAGATCTGCTTGATGAATGCGGAACGGTACCGCCCCATAACAGCAAACAAGTAAAAAAAACTGAGGATGAATCACTAAAAATATTTTATAGTTCCACTAAAAATTATGAAAATAGTTGTAAAAGGCACAGAACAAAACATTACTCATCAAGCTGAGTAAGTAATTTACACTATTAGGAGGAAATAGTTGGTGGAGCAGTTTAATCTTGTGCCCCCGTGGACCGGCTGCCACTAATAATATCACAGAAAGCTGTGGTTAGAATCATGTGCTCGCTTTTTAAAAGAAGTTTTGCTCATAAGTATTTCCACAGGTGGTTGATGTTCTGAACAAAACCGATTACAGATGAAACAAAAGAGTGTGTGGGTGAGTTGTTAAAGCTAAATTAATACATAAATAAATAAAATTAAAAAGCAAAGTCCTGAGATGACAGCAAAATACAGGCTAAAAGTACCAAAACACAAGCTAAATGACAAAAGTACGAAAAGACTAGATAAAAGTTACAGATAACAAATGGTAACTAGTTGGTAAAACTAGCATAAGGCTGGCTAAATTAAAAAAAAAAAAAAAAAAACAATAACAAAAAAAGAAAAACATGGACGAAAAGAATCAAAAAGTAGCTGAAGTTAGTTAAAGTAGCAAATAACTAGCTAAAAGTAGCATAGGATAACAAAAACAGAGTAAGTTGCTGAAGCAGATTTCAGAGAGAACAATGAAGGAAATATAGAGATTTCCAAGTATTATTAGTGGTAAAATATTTGCAAATAACCTAAATATTTTTAAAAGTACAAAAGTTATAAAAGCCAAAACTCACAGCATTCTTCTACTGAATGAGTTGAACACTTTGATATTAGAATTGCTAAAATAGCAGAAAGTATTAGAATGCAAAAGAATTCAAACATTAAAACAGGAAAACAACATGATTTTTGAGTTGCATTTAAACCAGATTGTTGTACTTTGTATTTCAAATAGCAAGATATTTAATATTTGATCAAACTAGATAAAAATGCTTCCATTACCACAGAAAAGTTCAAGTATTTTATTTAACCTTTAAGTAAGTAAGTTCACTGAATAAGATGATGGAAGAAATTATTGAACAGAAACCATAGCATAAAGAATTTTGTGTTGTCTGGTTGAATCCAGATGTTTTCTTCATGGCTTGTGTTTCTGCAGGTGAACGTTCTGGCTCTGAGCATTTGCACCCGTGAAGCGTACCAGTCCATGAAGGAAAGAAACATCGATGACGGACACATCATCAACTTGAACAGGTTAGATGATGCACAAACAATATCCTTCCATCAGTTATAAATATGATCATGATCACAACGCAGATCTTAACTGACTCTCAGAGCAGACAGTGTGAGATATGTCCGCTAGAAGCTGCTTACATGCATATCAACTCTTGTGTATAGTACTTTGTATATCCAAACTAATTTGTTCCATTACAAAACAAAAACCGATCCCAGAATCTCAACAAATCTTTTTTACGTTTGTCAGAACATCTTTTATGGATGTGGAAGAGAATAAAACTACGAAAAGGTTGAAAATACAACTTTTACACTAATAATGATCACAAAAATACTTAATGAATAAGTACTTCAGATTTTTTGGATAATCAGATTTTTTTTTAATTTATTACATCAGGTACTAAAACCAATACAACAACCTTTAAACCAATGTAACAGGTACTAAAACAATTACAAACTATAGTAAAACCAATACAACAGCTCTTAAACCAGTGTAACTGGTACTAAAACAGTACAACAGGCACTAAAAACCAATACAATGGCTCTAAACCAGTGTAACTGGTACTAAAACCAGTACAATAGGTACTAAAACCAGTACAACAGGTACTACACTAAAACTAAAGCACTTACCGTAAACATGTAACGGGTAATAAAACTAGTCCAATGGTTTAGAACAAGTACACCAAGTACTAAAACCAATACAACAGCTCTTAAACCAAAGTAACAGGTACTAAAACAGTACAAAAGGTACTAAATCCAATACAACAGCTCTTAAACCAGTGATACTAAAACCAGTACATGTATTAAAACAAATACAAAAGCTCTTGAACCAGTGTAACAGGTACTAAAACCAGTACATGTATTAAAACAAATACAAAACCTCTTGAACCAGTACAACAGGTACTAAAACCAATACAACAGCTCCTAAGCCAGTGTAACAGGTACTAAATGCAACAGGCACTAAAAACCAATACAACAGCTCTAAGACCAGTGTAATGGGTATTTAACCTAGTCCAGTAGGTTTAAAACCAGTACCACTGGTATTACACCAATACTACAGCACTTAAACGTGTAACGGGTAATAAAACTAGTCCAACGGTTTAGAACCAGCGTAGCAAATACTAAAACCAGTACAACATGTACTAAAACCATCCATCCATCCATTATCTTTACCCGCTTATTCCATTTTGGGTCACGGGGGTCACTGGTGCCCATGTCCAGCAATCACTGTGTGATGGGTGGAGTACACCCTGGACGGGTCGCAAGCCCATCACAGGGCCTGTACTAAAACCAATACAGTGAACCCTCGCTATAACGCAGTTCACCTTTCACAGTCTCGCTGCTTCACGGATTTGCATTGTGCATTGTGTTCTGCATTCTGATTGGCTAAGCAGTCTCTCCAGTACAGTAGTTATTTGTAAAAAACATTTATACAGTACTTTTATTTGTTAAACAAATGCTTGGGCCTGTAAAAAGGTTTTATTCTTTGGTTTGAATGTAATATGGAGTATTTCATTGTATAGTAATTGTAAAAAAAAATAAAGGTTACTACTTCACGGATTTCGCCTATCACGGGTTCTTTTTGGAACGTAACCCCAGTGAAAAACGAGGGTTCACTGTACAACAGTTCTTAACCAGCGTAATGGGTATTGAAACTAGTCCAGCAGGTTTAAAACCAGTACAACTGGTACAACACCAATACTACCGCAATTAAATGTGTAACGGGTAATAAAACTACCGTAGTCCAACTGTTTAGAACCAGTGTAGCAGGTACTAAAACCAGTACAACATGTACTAAAATGAGTGCACCTGATCTTAAACCAGTACAACAGGTAATAAAACTTGTCCAACAGGTTAAAAACAGTGCAACAGGTACTAAACCAGTACAACAGCTCTTAAAACCAGTGTAACAGGAACTAAAACGTACAAACTGTACCAATACAGCAGCTCTTAAACCAGTGTAACAGGTACTGAAACCAGTACAACAGGTACTAAAACTAGTACAGCAGCTCTTAAATCAGTGTAACAGGTACTAAAACCAGTACAGCCACTAACCAGTGTACTGGGTATTGAAACAAGTCCAGCAGGTTTAAAACCAGTACAACAGGTACTAAAACCAAAACGACAGCTCTCAAACCAGTGTAACACGTACTAAAACCAGTCCAACAGGTCTTGTTGTCCTCAACTACTGGTACTAATTTGAAAATAACTTAAATAAAGACTCATGGGACGGTAGTGAAACACTTTTAAAGTACCATCTAACAGGCCCTCACAGAGTAATACATGGTACATTCTGACCCAGTTATTATTTCACACATCTTCTTTTCCAGTATCTGTGGTCACACTGTGATTCCCAGCTCTGAAATACATTTCTACACGGCCTCCAAATACGCGGTGACGGCTCTGACCGAGGGCCTGAGGCAGGAGCTGGGTGAGGCCAACACTCACATCCGAGCCACGGTAAGTCTTCAGCTCTGCCAAGCCGCTCTGTCTAATGAACAGTTTGTGGCCGTTTGCAAACCCAAACACATCTGATCGATTTTCCGCGTCACGTCACATCACGAGCTCCCTGTTATAAAATATTTGCCCTGAACATCCAGATGTTCCTTTACTCTCTGCAGTGCATTTCTCCGGGTGTTGTGGAGACAGAGTTTGCTCCGCGGCTCTTCAACGGAAACCCAGAGAAAGTTTCAGCTTTATACTCAAGCTATAAGGTAAAACATATTTTATTTGTGTACATTTTATGTCTGTTTAGTGTTACTATAAAGATTATGGCTGTAAACGAGCGTTTTTCTTCTCTCTGACAGCCTCTGGAAGCCAAAGACGTTGCTGACGCTGTCGTCTACGTCCTAAGTGCTCCTCCGCATGTGCAGGTTTGGGATTTTTTTCTCTTTTGTTTACATATTTCATCGAGTCTGAAGCTTTCTGTATTGCTGCCAACATGCAAGCAGTTTATCCTGACGAAACACCCCTCATGCATCTTTTCTTGCAGATTGGAGACATTCAGATGAGACCGGTGGAGCAACCGATGTAACTGCACCACGTGACGCCTTGGATTGAATGAGCGACTAATTCTTCCATATGATTTGTTGAACACATCCATCAAAGTAACTACTGTAATCACAAATTAAAGCCTGATTTAAAAATACAATTTGTGTCTTTTCATCTTCACTCTTACAAAGGATTTGGTTAGGAGCTACAGATGACTCTTTCAGCAACATAAAATCTGAAACATGAAATATTACATTGAGGTATGAACTAAGATTCTGGTTGAGCAGAGAATTAGTCAAATATTGGATCACTAACACCACCTACAGTATAAACCCATAGGAAGGGTGTGTGTGAGGAACCTATAGCCACAGAGGTGACCTCCTAATACTGAACCTCTGCAACAAGGGGCTTTAAAGGAACAATGTTAAAGGCTGAAATATCACGATGTTGAGCTGTAAGTCAAGTACTGGACTCTTATTTTGTAGGATTAATGCTGAAAAAGACAAAAACAGGCAATAAAATTAAAGAATTGCGCCGTTCAAGGTGGCCACATGTTGGAGTAGCTCTTTTACATTAATTCGGAGAGTTTGCATTTGGACACTTTAATTCCTCTTTTTTCTGGACGTAAATCACTTTTTTCGGATGATTACTTCCTCTGGTATCAGATGCTGTGCAGCTGGAAGGATTTTTACTGAAACTTTTAGTTTTGGACATTTGTTAGGATGCGTAACCATGACAACGAGGTGGTTTTCTACACCTGGGAGCTGCTGATTAACATCTCAAAAGCTCAAATTATCTCAACTACATCCCCAAATACCAAATAAGTTGAAAAGGAGGTGCCATGGATGCATTACCGTCTATCTGGAAGCGGTGCTCGAGTGCCTGACCACCGAGATCTTGGAGGTAGCGGGACATGCAGTTCGTGACAGCGGGAGGACAGAGATTGTCCGGCACCTGCAGTTAAGTCTGCAGCGACGAGGGGCTCGGCAGGCTTCTGGGAGAAATGGCCATCGCTCAGGGAGGAGTTCTGCCCGGCATTCAGGCAGTCCGAGAGGTCTGCTGGGTCTGGGTGGACGGATCGGCATCTGCAGCCAGTTTCTTTGGATTCGCCGTGGGACAGACTGCTACAAGAGATCCTTCCTGCCCAAAGCCATCAGCATCTAGAACAACTCTAATGAAACCAAGATGAGCTACAACAACATTTAATTTCTCTTTGAGGATTAATAAAGTATGTTTGAATTTAATTGAATTAAAAGGGTATTTATTTCATGGTTTTTCCTTTGGCAAGATCAAGACTCAAGACGATTGCGTCTTTGTTCAGAAAATACTCTGTACCAAAAAAGCTTTAGCATCAATATCAGTCAAAGTAAATATTCCAATGAGATGTCCAAAGCTGATGTTGGTTTGTAGCACAAGCTAACTGTGCAGTGCATTAAAGAATGGCGTTATTGGCAGGATAATTGGGTTTTATCACAAGCTATCAAATGTAGAAAATATTACATAATGTTTATGGTGAGCTTCCTAGAACTATATTGCTAAATTTAAATCGACAAAGCTCAAATGTAGCTCAGAGGGAGTTCAGAAGGTCTGAAAAACATTGCAAGGAGTGTTCAGAGTTCATGCTCAATCATTCAGGTACAAAATCAAATAATGGTCAATCAGGTCATTTGGACAGTTTCCTTTTGTAGAAAGACATTTCTCCCTGTATCCGAAGGGCTTCATCGGTCTGAGGAGTCCCAATCAAACTGTTTTCCCCACTAAGCAGTACACTCCTTTAGTGGACCAACCAGTTTGCTGGTGATAAGCAAGGAGTGATTAAACTACACGATAAAAGTCAGTTTATAACAGGTTTACTGCTAAAAGACTAATATATTAGTTACAAAACAATGTCTAAAAGACACAATCTGAGTTTGAGATAAGACTCTTTAACAATTCTGATACTAAGACATGGAGCACATAAATTGGATGTTTAGTGTGACTAAAGGACAACTTGTTCTGTGATCCAGCTGTTTTTTTGTTCACCTACATGTGTTTCAGTCGGTCTGTGCTGTTTATGGCGTTCAGGTCACAGTTTAACTCAGATGATCTCAACACCCACTGATTCATCCTAAATTAAATCTGATCAAAATGACTGAATTGGTCTACACCTAAGGTGGCATGGTGGCACAGTTAATACAAGTAGATCTGCCACCTCAAGTTGAGAAGGTTGTGGGATTGAATCCAGACCAGGGGCCAACAGAACTGAGGTCAAACTCATGTTGCCTTTTGTCTTCAGAAACGTTCTCTTCATAAATGGAACAGACATGTTTTTAGCCTCACACAGAGTTGGATATCCTGTTATAAATGATCTGGTCCTCCCTCTCCAACCGCTTTTTCGTAGTCAGCAAGGCAACAGATCCAAGAGAGAAACCTAGAGGTCTCTCTCCCCAGCAACACTCTCCAGCTCCGAGGCGTTCCAAAGCCAGAGAGGAAATATAGTCCCTCCAGTGACTTCTAGGTCTTACTCTGGACCTCTTCCCAGTTGGACGTGCCCAGAAATTCTCCTAAGGAAGGCGTCCATGGAGGCATCCTAATCAGATGCAAATTGTTCCTTCAGATTATAAAGAGTCATTTTTGCTCCATCATGTTAACCTTGTTCAATCACTGTGAAATAAATATAAAAGTTTAAATTGCTAAAACTTTTGACTCTGTCAAAGTCAACTTTATTGGCAAAACTGCAATATGTACAGGACATACACAGGATTGAAATATCATTACTCTCAGACCCCTGGTGCAACAATAACCATTAAACATTTAACAAACAGCATAAAATAAAAAATAAAAGTATGATACTATCCTAAATTGTAAGTATAGCAAAATAAAAAGTATATCTATAAGTATGAAGGTCTTGACATTGACATTTGAAGTAAAAAATTACAAATGCAACATATGAAGTGAATGTACACAGTATATGTATGAAGTCCTTGATATTGATAAAAAGTTAAAGTGACATATGCAGTATAAGGCTAACATTCTCAGAGTTCATTTTATTTTTGTTGCGTTGATTTATTGTTTGTTGGTTGTAAATTTCTAAAATATCTGAAAAAGCCTAATTTGGTCAAAAACCACTTTGGTATGGTTGCCTTAGAGGAGGTGATGGGGGAGAGGGTGGGCCTCCGAGGCCATCTTATCACCAGCAAACTGTTCAGTTTGTTTTTTCCCCACTCTGTGAGTGAGCTGTTTGTGGGATTCAGATTGGTTTGGTGGCTCCTCAGATTGAAGAAGTCCTTTGGATGAAGGACGAAACATCTCAGCAACAAAAGAAACCATCCAGGTGACCTGACTGAACATGGTTGGATTTATATCTGGATTAATGAGCATGCACTTTGGTCCTAATTTGGTCTCTTTTACTGTAATGCTCAGATTCAGCTCTTAGATGATCTGATAAAAAAGTATATAAATGAGGTAATCAAAATATTATTTCCTATAAGACACACTCCATCTGTTATATTGGTTCTCCTTTTAACAGTAGCTTAAAACAGTGATTAGAGTGAGTATGACCTTATTGCGACATTCAGCTACATTTGTATAGTTTACTTTGTTCAGTAAATCTTTTTATGCTCCCCGTCACACATGATCTAAATCTCTGAATACCACTCCCGTTTTTCATGTCGTGTCACTCCCTTAGTGTACATAAAGGTCTGGTTTTCAGTTGACTCTCCTTCCTTGTTGGTCCAGTTTTCTTCAACCTTCCGTTGCAGCGATTTGTTATGTGTGTGTGAATAAAATTTGTTCTATCTGCAATTTGGCCCTTTGCCTCTTTTTTTATGAATCATCACAATGTGACCTTTAAGGTCACTATTTCCAAGAATGTGCTTCTTTCAACAGAACAGTTCAGCAAATCTCATAGCGTGTCATCGTCAGCATAGAGAGTGAGTGTTTTTGACGAGACAGCCTGCGGTATGGATTTGTTTCAGTTAAAAACTTTACATTCCCCAAGAATGAACACCATTTTTTTTTTCTTGGAAAAGGTCATTGTGTAACCAATCAGGGCAGATGTGAACATATTTTATAACTTCCAACAATGCAAAAGAAAGAAAAGAATGTTTTAAAAAAAATTAACAAATCCTTTATACCTAACTCTAAGACATAATGAACTCATACTCAACAACAGCTACATCAGCTATACAATATTCCTAAACTCTGAAGAGCACAGTCTGCTTGACAGTTTTTTATTGAAAGTTTGTACATGAAACACAGTTGGCATATTTTTAACTTGACAATATCACTGAATTTACCTGTTTTTATAGACATATGGCAGATCTGGATTAAAATAAAACAGTTGTTTTAAAATACAAGTTATATTCTGTGTTCAGGAAAAACATGGAGTCAATCTGAACACTTCTTGTGGCAGTTCCCTCTTCAGGGGTCACCTCTGTCTCACTCTGTCCTCAGCCCAGGATGTCCTCTTTAACTGCATCCATACAGTATATCTCCTCTTTGTCTTTTTCCTGGCAGCTGCATTTCTAACATCCTTCTACCAGTATACCCACTGTCCCTCCTCTGGACATGTCCAAACCATCTCAGTCTGGCCTCTCTAACTTTATCTGCCAGTTGTTCAACCTGTGCTGTACCTCTGATGATCTCATCCATCCTTGTCACGCCTAAGGAGAACCTCAACATCTTCATTTCTGCCACTTCCAGTTCTTTCTCCTGTCTTTTTGTCGATGTCTCTGTCTCCAGATCATGCAACATAGCTGGTCTCGCTACTGTCTTGTAAACTTTTCCTTTGACCTTTGCTGCCACCCTTTTGTCACAAACCACTCCTGAAACTTTTTTCCATCCTGCCTGGACTCTCTTTTTCACCTCAAAACCACACTCCCTGTTTTCCTGGACAGTGGACCCCAAGTACTTGAAGTCCTGCACCTTTGTGACCTCTGCCCCTTGTAGCCTCACTGTTCCACCGGACTCCCTCTCATTCACACATACTCTCTTTTATTATGGCCTCTTCTTTCAAGTGCATACCTTCACCTCTCCAATCAGTCCGAGCACAATGGGTATAATATGGCAACAATCAAGGGAAAGCATGTGGCCACACCATTTCTATAAAAGTGACTCATCTGAACTTTTAAAAAGGTATATCTGGCAGGAAAAGTAATACCATGATTGACAGAAACACATTACATTGATGCCAGTTATTAATGAAATGCTCAGTTTGCTGTCGCGATGAGGTAAAAAAGGAATAATCATGCTTTGTCAAATTATTTCTGATGGCATCTCTCTCTGTTTTTAAGTTGACAAAACGTTCTTTCTTTTATTTTGGTATGGTATGGTACAAAGTTTATTCATTTTAAAAAAGTACAAAACAACTCCATAACAATATAAAGAAAGATACAAAAGATTTAAAATGAAAGGCGGCAGAAAGAAGAAAAAATCTTATTATATCTGCCCCTTTTTACAAACAATTATTTCAATCATAATAATTTTCAAGTAACAGAACAAAATGAATAACTCTTTCTAATTTTTCTAATTCTAATACAAAACACACACTAAGCTACTTCATATATACTTTTTTAACAATTTAGTTTTGATCTTTTTCTTAAATATACACATTGACTTGGCATTTTTTACATCACTCTCTAGACCATTCCACAATCCAACTCCTTGGATTGAGGTAGACCTTCCCTTCAGACTAGTTCTGAATTTTGGTTTGACAAATATCTCTATCCCCTTAAGATTATAGCAACTTTGTCTTTTAACAAAATTTCTTTGGATATTTAATGGTAATGTGTTATTTTGAGCCCTATACATAACTGATAAAATACTATAATCTACCAAATCATGGAACTTCAATAACTTCAGTTGATAAAATAATGTGCTTGATGGGTGACAGTAATGCTTTCTGGTGATCATTCTTATAGCTCTTTTCTGTAAAATAAAAATAGGTTTTGTAAATGTTTTACACGCTTTCCCCCAAACATCAATGCAATAGATTAAATTTGGAACAATGATTGTGTTATACAACATGTACAGAGCTTTATCATTTAATAATTCCCTGACTTTTTATAGTACTGCAATAGATATAGCTATTTTTGTTCTTACAGAATTGATGTGATTTTTCCATGTTAATTGTTCATCAATGATTACACCCAAAAATTTCATCTAATTAACTCTACAAATCTCAACACCCTCAATTTTAAATGGATCATCAACAGTTCTCTTTTTGTTACTAAATGTCATGTATTTAGTTTTGTCTAAATTTAATGATAATTTATTAAGTTTAAACCAAGTTTGTATTTTATCAAATTCTGTCTTCATCAATTCCAACATCTGTTTTACATCTTTACCCAAACAAAAAAAATGTGGTGTCATCTGCAAAAAGGACACATTTGAGGAGTCCTGATACATTCACTAAGTCATTCACATATAAAATAAATAACTTTGGTCCAAGTACAGAGCCTTGAGGAACTCCATGGGAATTTTAATTCCAATTTAATTCCAATTCATAATTTTAGGCACTACTAGACATTCTCTCATCCTGGTTCAACTATTTCTATCCTCATTGCTCCCATTTTGGATTTCCCACGAGTGATAAACCCAAAATACATTAAGTTCATGAGCATCACACAAAGAACATCTGCACCGGGCTACGTCCTGGAGATCAAAATGTTTAGTCAGTGGTAACATCTTGTTTAATACTGAAAGTATTTAGGGAGTTAGGGAATGCATATTATCTTATGTCTGACATGTCAAAGTTTTAAGCAAAGATCTTGTGTAATCTGTTAGAACTCAGAGTTGATTTTGGGGATGACTCTCAGCTACTACCACACCAAACTAGTAAAAAATACCTGAGTCGTAGCCCTTTTTGTGTTAAGTTTGACTAGCAGTGGTGGCCATCTTGAATGGAGTTTATCAGAATAAAATTCATCCAGAGGTTCATGGAAGATTTTACAAGACAAGCAAATACGCTCAGTCTCCGTTACATTATCTCTGCCTTTCATAGTGATAAAAATGCTATTTCAATACTGTTTTGAGGCAGGAAGTGATGCATCAGAAGGCTATTTATTTATTTATTTTATTGTTTTTATATTTGGACAGAGCTAAACTAATAGCTGAAGTTATGTGAATGACCAGTCTTAAATAGCTGAAAACAAAGCTTAATGTGTCGGTACTATAGACTCATGAGTCAAACAGACCATTGTTGTGGAAACTGTGTTAAGGACATTTTGTTAAATCTTGTTAAAACAATCTTTTTTAAAACACACAATAAAGGAAATAAAAAGTTGTTTTAAATGGGGGAAGCACAGCAGTGCACTTGGTAGAGCTGCTGCCTCTCAGCGAGCAGGTCACCAGCTCAAATCCCAGTCCAGGGGCCTTTCTGGGTGGAGTTTGCATGTTCTCTCCGTGCATGCGTGGGTTTTCTCTAGATACTCCAGTTTCCTCCCACAGACCAAAAACATGCATGTTAGGCTGAATGGTAACTCTTAATGGTCCCTAGGTGTGAGTGAGAGAGTGAATGGTTGTTTGTCTCTCTGTGTCCCTGTGATGGACTGGAGACCTGTCCAGGGTGTACCCCACCTCTCGCACAATGATGGCTGGACATGGGCACCAGTGACTCCACCAATCCAGAAAGGAAGAAGCAGGTAAAATAATGGATGGATGTTTTATATGGCCTTTGGAACGACTCAAGTGAACCGGATCATTTTAGTGAGAGACTCTGATTAACTCGAGTCTTTAAAGTGAACCGAATCTACCAGCTCTGCTACTCGTTTGGATCCGTTCGCAGTGATCTTGAACGCAACACAGTGACGTATTACGTAACAACTCACGTGCTACTGGGCAGCATATAGAGTAAAGACAGAAAAGGAGAGGACCAAGAATGGAGCCCTGGGGTACACCCCTAGAAAGACAATCACAAGAGTGAGAGGTTTACAATGAATTATCAATAATGTTTAAGAAATTAGAAGCAGTGAAACAAATTAGTTTTTCCAAAAAATAGAAACTTCTGCCAGTCTGACATTTGACAACTTGGTAAATCTTTTTTTGATTTTGTTGTTTTAGTATTAAAATGTTTCTATTAGATTTATTTTCACAGCATTTGCAAATACTGACACACAAAAGCATCTAAAGTACAAAAGACAATGAAAATAAATTACACATATATTAAAACAATAGAAGCTCAAACAGACTTCAAATTTTTTAATGAACTAACAAATAAAACAAAGAGTTTAAATGTAAATAGGTTTTCTTTAGTGCGAGAAGCGAGCGTTCTGACTCAGCTACTTTTGGTTGCATTCAAATACATTTGTCAAAAAAACATTAACTTGTTCCAGGAAGAGAAAAAAAGTGTTTTCTTTTTGTTTAAAGCAGAAAACGATGTGGTTTCAGAAACTAGGCTACAGCAGGGAGTTATTTCCTTTCAAGTGCAATCTGACCAGCGTGGAGGACATTGAGTCCATGTTCTCAGCTATCAAAGCTCAGCACAGAGGCGTGGACGTGTGCGTCAACAACACTGGCCTGGCCCACGCAGAGCCACTGCTGAGCGGCAAAACCAACAGCTGGAAGAACATGCTCGATGTGAGAACTCACTGTGAGCTTAGAAATCTTCTGCCACCTACAGTCCACTCCAAAAATAATGGAACAACGTGACATATTTCTTTGTTTTTGTTCGGGGAAGACAGATTTGGGTTTAAGATCAAAAGATGAGAATGACACAAGAGTTCCGAATTTCAGCTTTTATTTCCTGGTATTGACATTTAGATGTGTGTTAAACAACTCAAAACATATCACCCTTTGTTCGAACCCACCCTTTTTTTCCAAGTGATCAGAACTAATAGAACATATGATTGACAGATGTTTCTTGTAGATCAAGTTTTGAGTGTGCAAACAATAAATAGCTCTGCATCACTAGTCTTGAGTTTTTAGCCTGGGTTTAAACCTATAAAGGCTGCATTTCTTGTTAAAGAGGATAAACCAACAAGAAGGCCAGAGAGCTGTGTATGGGAGAAAAGCAAATCTGAGAAAAGAAGGCAAATCGATCAGACCCATTGTTCATAGCAAGCACAACAACTTGGAATGTCCTGAAAAAGAAAGAAACTACTGGTGTACTGAGCAACAGACGTCGAACAGGTCAGCCAAGGACAACAACAGTAGTTGACGACAGAAATATTGTGAGAGTTGTGAGGAAAACCCCTAAAACATCAATAACTTGCATGACCAACGACCTCCATGGTGCTGGGTGAAGGTATCTCAATCCACTGTTCGAAGAACACTCTGAGAGCAGAAATTTAGAGGCCAATCCACAAGATGCAAACCACTCATCAGTAGTAAGAATCAGAAGGCCAGATTGGAATTTGTGGAGTACAGAGATGAGTCGCAAGAGTTCTGGACCACAATCTTATGGCCTGATGAGATGAAGATTTGTCTCTACCAAAATGATGTAAAGGACAAAGTGTGGGGAAAAAAAGGGACTTCTTATGATCCAACGCATACAAGCTCGTTTGTGAAGCATGGTGGAGGTAATGTCATGGAATGGGTGTATGGCTGCATCTGGAACAGACTCATTCATATTTATTGATGATGGTAGCAGCAGAATGAATTCTGAAGTGTACAGAAACATTTTATTTGCCAATTTAAGGAGAATGCATCCAAACTAATTGGGAGGAGGTTTACCATACAGTGCAGGACAACGATCCCAAGCACACTGCCAACAAAACAAAGGACTTCATGAGGGGGTAAAAGTGGAAGGTTTTAGACTGGCCAAGTCAAATCACCTGACCTTAACCCAATGGAGCATGCATTTCATCTCCTGAAGAGGAGACTGAAGGGAGAACACCTCCCCTGAAACAAACAAGAACTGAAAGAAGCTGCGGTAAAAGCCTGGAACAGCATCACAAATGAAGAATGCAACAGTTTGGTGATGTCGATGGGTCACAAGCTTGAGGCACTTGTTGCAAGCAAAGGTTACACCACCACATATTAAATGTTATTTACTTAAAGATTATTTGTTCCTTATGCTCACCTAAAAATGATGTGGTCTAATTCACAGGGCCAAATGTCCTGAGTTGTTTTAACACATCTAAATGTCAACACCAGAAAATAAAAGCTGAACTTCTGAACTCGTCTCATCCTCATCTTTTGATCTTGAACCCAAATGTCCTCAGTGAACAACAAAAACAGGAATTTGCTTCACTGCTGCAGTACTTTTGGAGGGGTCTGTAACTGTCATCTTCATAGTGACGTCTGGCCTCTGCTTCCAGGTGAAAGCAGATGTTTTCGTCACTGCTTGTGTTTCTGCAGGTGAACGTTCTGGCTCTGAGCATCTGTACTCATGAAGCGTACCAGTCCATGAAGGAAAGAAACATCGACGACGGGCACATCATCATCCTGAACAGGTGAAGGTTCACTTTACAATGATCAGTGTTTCCCCTAGTTTACTTGCCTTGGCAGGGCACTCATATCTTCTGTGATTTATTTTTTTTTTTAATCAGTCAGAAACACAGAGTGCTACCTCTGTAGCTTTTTTAGCTAGCTATTTCGCAACGCTAGTTTAGCGCTACGTCAGTGCTGGCAGTTGTCGACAGTAGTTTGGTAGTCAGGGTGTTCAGTTCTGTTGACAGTGTGGGGCACCCTGCTTGTATAATGGTAGGGGAAACACTGATGAAATACAGCAAAAGTCAAACTTAGGAAGAAATAGTTATATGTATTAGTATTCCTTCATCTGTTCCAAATAAACTTAGTACAACAAGAAGGAAGTTTGCTTGGTTCATTTTTTTGTTTTGTTTTGTTACAATGCATCTTTGCAATAAATCTTTTCCTGTTGAAATGCCTGTTTCCCCTTTAAAGGTGCCACATTTGTTAGGAAAGTGCATTTGCGTATTGAGCAGTAGAGTTCAGTGTTTGGGTTGTGCTCATGAAAAACTTGCCAAATCCTCTCTACCGAACAGCTAACTCCACTAATGACTTGTTTTCATGTTGTTTTTTTGAACTGTGTGATTGAAGCCTAAAGAAACAAGACATGTCAGCAATTTAACAATGTAATTATTTAACAAGCAGGAGCTTCAGTAGCATGTGGAAGAACCATACGCAGCCACAATAACCTGATACTTCTTCCTCGTGATGCTCACCAGCTTCGACACAAACTGCTGTGGAATGGCATCTCATTCTTGAACTAGCATTTGTCATAACTCAGCCGTCGTGGCTGGGTTGGTCACTCTGTAATGAACAGCGCACCCAAACTGATCTCACTGGTATTCAATGGGGTTGAGTTCAGGACTTCAGGCAAGTCATGCCGTCCTTTGCACTCCCTAACTGTGGTGGTAGTTTCTGATAAATCCCACTCTGGGGGTGAGTGTTGTTGTCTTGAAGGTTAGAGCTCAGTCCCAGACTGTGGAGATATAGGGTTGACACTGGTTGCTCACAGGTGCTACACCTTGAGTACCAGAAACTCCAAATAAGCATCATTAAAAGACTAAGCTGTTTAGCATTGGCAGAGAACATTTGGAAGGTTTTTCGTATGCTTAACCTACATTCTTAGCTCTGATCCTAACCCACAAATGCATTTTCCTAGAAAATGTGGCTCCATTTAAGGATTGCCAAGAAGCATTGTTACAACAAATAAATTCCCAACCAAACACTAGTTTTCTTACTTTTCATGCTGTTTAGGATTATGTTGATCTTCCAAAACGTATCAAAGTTCATACTCAATAATCCAGGTAGAAAATCCAACAAAGTTCAGTCAGGTCATCTGGAGGGTTTCTTTTCTTAAGATGTTTCGTCCTTCATCCAAAGGACTTCTTCAATCCGAGGAGCCACCACAAACTGAATCCCACAAGCAGCACCAACCAGTTTGCTGGTGTTAAGATGGTTTTGAACCACTTAAGCTATGGCTGCCTCCAAGGAGTGGATGGGGGAGACGGCGGACTCCAGAAACCATCTTACCGCCATCAAACTGATTGGCCCACCATGTGAGTGTGCTGCTTGTGGGACTCGAGTTTGTGGCGGCTCATCGGATTGATGAAGTCCTTTGGATGAAGGACGAAACATCTCAACAACAAAAAAAAAGAAACTATCCAGATGACCTGACTGAACTTTGTTGAACTTCCAAAACATTATTTTACATGAGATTAACCATTCTCACCAATCAGCAAGCCACAATCTAAAGATATTTACTTGAACAATGTGTTCAGAAAAATGAACTTGGTTGAGTCAGGTTGTCTCGTATGACTACGTTGGGCCCTCAGGATATATATTTTATATCAGTAATCATCATCTGATAGGCCCCGTGGCTGTAACTGTAAAAAGTTCATCCATTCCTGCCAGCAATGAAATAAATCTTTTATAAATGAAAGTAGTGTTTGTTGAAAGAATGCACATCGTCTGTACGTGATGCAACAACGTGCTGCTGGTATAATGAACTTTTTCTCCCTCTCTTTTCTGAGCAATGATTCACAGAAAGAATCACAACTAATATTTTTTTGATTGAAAAAAATAGTTTTGACATTTTTTAGAAGTCAAAGAGTGACGGATGCAGATGCCATTCATTAGTTCTAGCAACGATCTAAAGATATTACCCAGGACACAGAAGCTTAGCTTATTAAAAGCTCCACTCTGTCTGCTCAGAAAAGCTTTAGGACATTTTGTTCTTGTGTTCCAGCATGTGCGGCCATCGAATACTCCCCAGCTCTGACATGCATTTCTACACAGCGTCCAAGTACGCTGTGACGGCTCTGACCGAGGGCCTGAGGCAGGAGCTGCGTGAGGCCAACACTCACATCCGAGCCACCATAAGTTTTCAGCTGCGTTTTAAATTAAATGCTTTGTGCTCATTTGGCCTGCGATGTGCGTCATTAAATCAAAGCAGCCTGATCAATTCACCACACCTCACCACAAGCTCCGAGAGCATCATAATTATAAATATAGAATATGGTTGTTCTTTGTTTTCATCATATTGCCCCTCTACAGTGTATTTCTCCAGGTTTAGTGGAGACCGAATTCGCTCAACGGTTTCATAGCCAAAAGCCAGAAAAGGCTGCGACTGCCTACTCTCAATATAAGGTAAATTATTTATTTTTTGTGCTGTTATTCTATTTTTACTCATGTTTGTCTCCTTTCTGACAGCCTCTGGAAGCCATCGACGTTGCTAATGCTGTCGTCTACGTCCTGAGCGCTCCTCCTCATGTGCAGGTTTTTATTTCTTTTACTAATTACCTGTTTTGTTTTCTTTTAAAATTAACTTTTTTCCCCTCAAAAATCAAGTATGTTTTTATGCATCTTTTCTTTCAGATCGGGGATATTCAGATGCGATCTGTGGAGCAAGTGTCGTAGCGTCGCATCGGGCTGAATTGAAACACCATTTATTTATGTGATTTTTAAAAAACTAAACTGTCAAAATGACAACTAGAATCAAATTAAATGTTTGATTTAAGGATTATTACTCTTTATTGTCATTACTTGATTTGCAGGGGTTAAATTTGTAACTTTAGACTTTTAAATACAAGTTTATACTTGTGAAAAACAAACATTTCAACCTAAAAATTATTTTTTTAACAATCGTTCATTTATACAATATAATTTGTAGGATACATAAATGTAAACGAAAGACTGAATACAATAAAATGCACTTTGTTCCAAAACAATCTTGTGTATTTTTATTTTTTTTACATTACAAGAGCTGAAATGAAATCTTTACTTTGATTTTCCTTCTCCCATATCAGCTCAGTAGGTAAAATGTTGTACAATTCTTCTTTTAGTAAATGCTACTTTTTCAGGACTAAAAATCTTAATTTGATTTTTAAAAGTCACATCTCAAACTTTAGTGTGCGAACAAAAGTAAACAGAAATACAAAATAATTATAAATTACACTGAAGTAAGAAGGAAAAATACTGAAGGCAAAAATAATTTATGAAAAAATATACACCACTTTATATAAAAGGATATCTGTTTAAAAATGTAATCTTATAAACAATAAATAAATATTGAACTAAGGGAAATATTTTTATGTTTCCATATATCCATGTTTCTTCTCGTTTATTTTATCATATATGTGTTGCACTCTTGAAAAGTAGATTTTTATTAATTGCAATTTTTTTCCTGGTTCAAAGTTGTGTTTTTGTTTGTTGTTTGTTTGTTTGTTTTTTGAATGGGACTCATAAGAAGCTCCTTTTAATGTGTCTTGTGTCTTTTGGACCCAAGCGGGAATAAATAAAAACAGAAACGGAAGGGCACTAAAACTGAGCCTTGTGGGACTCCACATGACAGAGCAGCAGATAAGGACTTGTGATCACCAAGTCTGACATGTTTGCTGAGTCAGACAGGATCTGAACCACTGAAGTGCTGTGCCCCTGATGCCCCCACCAACAAACCATATGGTAGTGTGCACTCGCTGACACACATTTTTCTTGCAGATGTTTAATTTAAGAATACATTAACCTTTAGTATGAGCAATATATTGTGTATGCTTTTACTTTCTGATATTTTTTGGGTCCAATATTCATGACTGAAAGAACCTTTAAAGAAAATGGTTCATGTGGTGCTTTGTATCATTTATAAAGGTGTTTAAAAACTTGAAAAGTTCTGTATGACCCAAGGTGCTGTCCTGCAAAAGCCACCAGTATCTGTTTGGCAAACGAGCAGGAAGTCCTGATAAAAGAACCTGCTTTAATTCCCGTTTCTGTTAAAAATCTGCCAGGAAAGTCTCCTGGTTAGTCGGAGAGTCTGCCAACAAGCATCTATCGTCTCTCATGGAATGAGCACCAATTCACTCAGAAACCTGTGTTTCTTTATACACACAACTGTTGGCAACTTTAGGACTGCTCAGTGGACTGGACTAATGGACCAGGCTGCAGCTTCCACCTAAACACACGGTGAAACTGGGCCATGTGACGTCCATCAGCCTGGAGAGAAGCCCAACTGTTGGTGGTGTGGATCCGGGGCCTGTTGGACAGAGTCACAAGGTGAGAGGAAGAAAACTGAGACCAGACTCAGACTTATGTCTTGTAGTAGATGTTTTAGTAATTGTATTAATAGTTGTAGTGATATATGTCACAGTAGTAGTAGTTATGGTAACAGTAGTTGTAGTGGTAGCAATATCTTGATTCATGCTCAATAATCCAGGTAGATAAATCTAACAAGATTAAGTCGGGCACAGATTCCTTGTTGAAACGTTTCATCTTTTATCCACAAGACTTCTTCAGTCAGGACTGGAAGAAGTCTTGTGGATAAAAGATGAAACCTTTGAACAAAGAAGAATCTGTCCAGAGGATCTGATTTAACTTTGGTAGAGTAGTACTTTTAGTAGTTTTTGTTGTTTTAGTAATTGTAGTAGTTATTGTAATGATAGATGTTGTAATGGTAGTAGTTGCAATGGTAGTCCTTTTACTTGTAGTAGTACTAGTAACAGTAGTAGTAGTAGTACTGTAGTTGTTGCTGCAATAGTTGTAGTAGAAGTTTTTGCTCCTTCGCTTGTGTCCAGCAGAGGGCATCATCTTATCTAAAAGCTCCATTGTCCTGTTTGGTTTGAACTCTGCACCATCAGCTGACCAGTTCCTGCAGATCTGACACTTTCTTGGCTTGTTTTCTTTAAAAAATAAAGTTGGACAAAAACTGTTTAAACACTGAAATGAGATTTAAATCCAGAACCATATTTACGGTAGCCAGTTTAAAGATTACTGGAGTTTTGTTTTCTTTTACGTCATATGTGTCAAACTCAAGGCCCGGGGGCCAAATGTGGCCCTCGTTGACATCTTATCTGGCCCCCAAGATTTTATTTTAAATGTAAAATACTTTTATTAGTTTAATTTTTTCAGTAATCTTTGATTATGATGTCCAAAGTGCAACAGCGAATGTCAAATGAGACTAATCAAACTCTTGTTGAGGAACCTGCAACCAAGAAAAGATGTTGGGTATCTAACTCGAGTTAATGTAGTTGCTGAAACTGGCCCTTAGTTTGAAAAATGTTAAAATTTTGGCCCCCTTTTGTAAGTGAGTTTGACACCCCTGTTTTACATCAAGTTCTTATGGAAGCATTTTTAATTAATTCTCTACTCATCTAAACATTGCCCTTCCCACAATAAACAAAAAGTTCTGCTAAAAGGACATAATGTGTCTTATCTTGTTTGTGTTCACAAGATGCTGGGGAAAAAATATGTGTTAAAGATTTTACAAATCAAAAACCTGATCAAGGATAAAAGTAAAACTTTACATTTTACTTAATAAAAAAGGATTCCTTTTTTTATTATCCATTATTAATTAATGTTGTTTTACATCCATCACACATTCTTTTTTCTTTTTTAACAGACAGCAAGGTACACACATGATTATAGTTTTACATGTCATGTGCTAACAGACACTATAATGTTGAAAAATACACAAATGAAGAAGCACACAAAAGCTGAAAAGAAGGGTCTCAAAAACAGAGCTTTGTGGGACTCCATTCATTATGGTGGTGATTTTTATCTCATGATCAGTACTTTCTATATATCCCACATCTTCAATACATTATGACTTTTTCTGAGAGCTCATTTAAATTTCCAATTTAAGCTGAGTTTCAAAAAAAAAAATTTAAGATGAAAACTTAAGACTTCAGTCTTTGGTGAATTCATAAAAGCGACAAGTCTAAGTTTTTTTGTTTTGCTGTGGTTTTTACTTTTCAGTGGGCTGAGAACTGCAGTTTGTAATAAAAGGTCCATGTATGAACTGAAGTATTTACAGAATACAACAAATCATCTGGAAGAGAACAAAAAATGAAACATCTAAAAAGCTTAGAGTTATATGTTGATCATTTTGTTCTTGTTTTTTGGTACCACTTTAAGATAAGGGTACCCTTATAAATAAGTAATAAATGGTTAATAATGCAGTTATAATTAGTTGTAAACACTTGAAAAATCATTAATAAGCAGAATGAAGTTACAGGCCAGTAAATTGACACGAGTTAAAGCTAGCAAAAATACTTTAAAATTAAGTACAGACTGCTTGAGTATATGAACATTGACTTATAACTGATTAATAAAAGTCTAACGAGGATTTACAAAGCATTTACAAACTCATTAATAACTCATTATTATACACTTTATAGTTACCCTTGTTGTAAAGTGAGAACCATTTTTTGGGTAAAATTTAGAATGATTCGTACTTTAACGAAACTGTCATAAATGACAAGATAAACCGTTGAACTCGACATTTACTGTTTAAATAAACTTGAGAAGATTAAAGACAAAACATCTTTTTTTTTTATCAGTACAAATGTAACGTCACAACATATTTGATGAGTTTCTGTGGTGACGTCAGCAGTCCATCTCACCACTAGAGGTAGTTATTTCTGAGCTGCTGGTGGTAAAACCTGCAGGAAAAAGTGGTTTGTGTCATTTTAAAGACAGTTTCTGATGTTTTAATATCACATTTGACTGTGCATGCTCTCACCTGCTGTTAAAATGGTAAATGGACTGTATTTATATGAGCACCTTTCTATCTTATCTAGATACTCAAAGCACTTTACACACAATCTGTGTCCTCATTTACCCATTCATACAGCACTCTACTAGATCTATACAAAGACTAATCAGTGCTTTATCACATTCATACACTGATGGGACACACATCAGAGGCAATGAGGGGTTCAGTGTCTTACCCAGGGATACTTCAACATGCGACTGCTGGTGGAATTGAACCCCCAACTTTTGTATTGAAGGACGACTATTCTAACCACTCAGCCACAGCTGCCCATGATGTTGAACATCACTGATCATTTCTAAAAAAATAATAAAAATAAGATGGTTAAATGTCTCATTTCTTGTTGGCACCTGGTTGTAAATGTATTTTCTAGTTTACTGTTTGAGGTTCTGTGGTCTCTGACAGAAAAACAAAAATTATCTCTGTGTCAATAAATCAGGCGAAGAAGAGACTCAGGCTGTCTCTCTTGGAGATTGTTGTCCTTCACCCTTATCCGCACATTCTTGTGAATAACATTGTGCTCAACATCCCAAGGGCATGACGCAGGTCGGCACAAAAGCCCCAGAGACGTCTGTATCAGGCCTTTCGGGTCAAAAGTGGTCTCTAAAATCTTTAAAACTGTCATTACACTTCATCTGACAAGCGGAGCATGCCAGTGCCAGCAGGAATTAGGCTGAGGAGTCTGATGAAAGCTTTATTTTATTTCACGAATGTGAAAATAAGCCAGAGGTAAAGACTAACTCTTGCACAGTTTTGTTAAACTGTCAATTAAATCTATTTTAAAACACGATAATAATTTAAGGAAGAGTGACAGTTAAGAGCTGCTGATAAGTCTGTGTTTGGAGGTTGCGGTGCCGACGTAACTTCACAACATCCG